ATTAGTTAGTATACTTCATCAAATAACACGCAATAATTCAAATAATCAATAATTGTTAGAAATTTATTTTTCAAAAAAATTGTATAATTGAATGCAAAAATTAAATATTACCAGCTTCAATAATAAAAGCAATGTGAAATGAAATTGTAATTATAATTATTTTATAGTCTATGGTTGCAAACAATGAGATGACTATATAGTGAAAAATTGTAATTACCTGAAAATCACGTTTAAAACATTGTAGCAGAGACTCTATTCTCTATTGATGTTAAGCATGAATCAAGAAAACTTTTTCGATATTTATTTTTTTTCTTTAATAAAATTTTTTAAAATGTTTTTACATTTCTCTCATGCATGTTATTCTTTTTTTAATTCGTTTGAGAAAAATCTTGAGAACTTTGAAATGTTTGCATTTTTATTGTATTTTAGAATGAATTCAAACTTCAACTTCAATAAGGTGAAAAGATTTGTTACTTAAATTATAAGTTAAGTTCTCCTACTGTTGTCAGATGAAAGATAGTAACATACTAATATCGTTCGAGCAGACATAATAGCCGGTTCTAATACCAGGGATTAACGTTGTTCATACACCAGACCAGGACCACCAATAAATGTATGAAGCCAAAGTGTTTAGCGTACTGGTAATGTTGCAGAAAAAAAGCGTAACATACTGAGTACAATAACAGATTATTTAAATAAACAAAGAAAATGTGCTGGGGGTGACCAAGCTTCTTCAGTAAATGACTCTAAAATAGGTTTTATTATTATTGATATTGCGTTATTGAGTTATTGAGTGTAATAGTCAAATTCTTAGAATGTTTTGTATTTGGAGAAAAAGTTTTAACTATTAAAGAAATGTCAAGTTTTCGTTAAAGTTCAGATTGTATTTCTCCTTCTGTCTGAAAATCGTCCAGCAGTTTTACTTTTACATATCTTTATTAATTTATTTCTAGGTTTTATTATTATTATTAAAGAGTAGACGTGAAAATCGCCCAACAGCCGGTACTGCAGCCAGAAGAGACCTATTGTACCAGTTTCACTATTGATTAAACAAAGCCCCTTAAAGCTTTGTGAATAAAGTCTAGAACTAAATCTAGAGAAGAGTTCTTAATCTGTTCTGGTGACAGAAATTCTTTATGAAATAGGTTTCTTCTATGCGTTATTAAAGCTGGACAGTCACAAACAATGTACATGGTCGTTTCCTCCTCTTCGAGGCATAATCTGCATTCCGAGTTAGCAGATAATTGTAGTTTATGAAGGTGATATTTCAGACCACAATGACCTGTAATGAAACCCGTTATCAACCTTAAATTACATTTTGAGGATTTAAGACTGTCTTTGTAGGAGTACGGTGTTATCAGTGCTTTGCTTTGTCTGAGTCCTGGAAAGTTTACCCAGTACTCCAGCCGCATATGATTTTCCATTTCCTTGATAATCTGTTTAGGACTGGCCCAGTTTATTCCACAAAAGGGTTGAGGGCCTATAAAAGCAGTTTTTGATGCAGTTCTGGCTAGCTCGTCAGCTTTTTCATTTCCCAAAATTCCTTTGTGGCCCGAGCTGCACGTGATTGCAGAAGCTCGTAACACTCAAGGACCTGTTTTGATTTGAAAGTCCAAGAAGAAAGAGCTTTAAGAGCAGCCTGGCTGTCAGAGTAAATAACAATTTTCGAGCCAGAAGATTTTTTGATTAAATTGGATATTACGCATAAGTTTATTGCGTGGATTTCAGCTTGGAAGACACTCGGCCATGTGCCCGTTGTCTCCGAAATGCTGGTGTTGGGTCCATATACACCAGCGCCAGTGCCTTCATCCATCTTTGATCCATCTGTGTACCAAACCAAACTTTTTGGGTCAACCTGTGGGCCTCCATTCTCCTTCGTTGAACGTGATGGTTGGTGTACCTCAAATTTTTTGCCAAAACGATGGAGTTCTGTTGTATAGTCCCCATCGCATTGAGGAATTTTATGTGCTCCAAATGTTTTTAATATTATTGTATGACCATAGTCAAGACAACTCTTGTTCATGGGGGGTTTTAGTCGAAGCGCACTAAGCGCAGCCGTAGATTGAATGTGTATGTGCAGAGGTGTCAATCCAAGTATAGCCTCAAGTGCTGCAGTTGGACTTGTCCTCATAGTACCAGTCATTAAGAGACACTCATTCTAGGTTTAGTGGGTGGTAATAGTTATAGATCAAGCATTTTGCCCAAATGCATGACTCCCTTAAAATTTGTTTTAAAAATCACAATTCTACAATATTCAATATCACTGTTCCGTAAAATATTTTATTTTCGATTTATTTTCGACTTAGAAAACTCATTAAAAATTTTTTTGAAACATATATATTTGTGAGATAGTGCTCTATACCAGGGCTGTCCAAAGCACAGGCCGTGGGCCGCAGCTAATATTTGTGTGGTTGCTACATGTTTTTAATCTATCACAATTACTCAAATTTTCTTTTGGTGTATTGGTAAAACTACATTATTTTATTTTTATGGTATACTAAATAAGTGAAATTAAATTAATAAAGTGATTTTTGTTGTTCCGCGATCACATCTGGTCTAGACAGCCCTGATGTATACCATTGCTATCCTCTTGCCTTTGTTTATTGTTGTTAGAGTAAATGTTACTCTAATGCCAAGTAAAACTGAATTGTGGTCGATGCTGATTCTCGGAAAACAACTTAATAAATAATTTAGCATTATGACTATTTCACTATGATGTTTTAACTTGACTTATTAGTTACTGTCTTCGAATGCATTTTATTGTACATACTGTAAAATAATTAAACTTTTATGTTCCTTCAAATTAATTTAACTACTTTCAAATTTTAATACTATAATTTGATGGTTTAAAGCGAATATATTGTATATATGTATAAAGTGTGTTCGATCTTTATAAGGGAGAGAATTTCGTTATGTGATTGTATCTTGCTTATATGTCCTTCTTTAAGTGAGAAATGACTTATTTTTTAGAAATGGGAAATAAAGGGACTTTATTAGTAGAAACGACTAGATAACGTTCATTTTATAATCAGAGACCCAAATATCGATCTACTTATATTTGTTTGTTTGCCGGTTTTAACGCAAAATAGTTTTTCTGAGCGTTTTTTTTTCGTTCTGAGCTTGACTGTTTATATATGTCAGATTGACCTGTGACCTGTCATATAAAACCACACGTAACGTTTGAAGTTATAGTAAGAAGATTGAATTTTAATTTTATTAAGATTGATTCAAATTTGGATATAATTCTGGCACTAAGTTATGATTACAATCATTAGCAAGATATTATTAAAAAAAAATTAATTGTTTTTATTTACAAAAATCTTAATATGTGTGTTCAGTGTATTAGTAACTTCTTTTAACATTATTTTTTATAGTATTGTCCAATGTATTTTTTTTAAACTTTGATTTTTCTTATTGTTTATTAGTTTATTCCTAATAATTGTAAAGTTTTTTCCTTTAACTTATATTCTGCATGGTGTGTAATTGTTGCTATTTTAGACATATAAATCTTATATGTTGATTCAACCCTTTTGGACGTTTTTCATAGATTCCTCTTAAAAGATTAGTTTTATAGATTTTGATGGTAACGGAAGCAAATGCGGAACTCTACGTGCTTATTTCCCACTTATTTTTATTTTATATTTTTAATTTTATGCCATATCTTTACCTATAATATATACTATTACAAATAAAACTATGAAATTAATCATGGACTTATAACTCTCTACTTCCAATCAATTTACGTTGTTATCTTCCGAAAAATGTTGTTTCTATTTTATGAATTTTATAAAATTAGTATGTTTGGCTTGTTCATAATATAAATGGTCGCATTTGCTTTTAAAATCAAAAATAAATATATGTGAACTTGGTAACTATTGAAGTTAATACCCCAATAAACTGAATATATACAAAAATACATGCATTTATATTCGTGCTAGCATATGTACTCGTACATAATTTGTAGATACATGTGTAGTGTATCTCGGTATCTCGATATTTCAGTTTATATTTTGTGTGGTGTACGCTGTATGC